TAATAGTAACCTCCAAGCAATAAAATCAGCTTTATTAAACATTTTCAAGTACTTCAACTCTCTTCTAGGGAATTTCAGTATTGTTTAATTTGAAAAGCTTTAACTAACTTTTAGAAATTGAAAGAAGAGACTAAAGACATAACGGACTTCACTTCGTTTAAACTCCTTTTATTGAGGGTTCGAATAAGTGTAGCTTAGGGTATCTCCAACGCTAACGATAAGAATCGGCCGATCGAGGGTGCGCGGCGGTTGCGTTGCGGCTCTTTGTTGAGTACCGATTAGCGATTCGCCTCTATCCAAGCCTTTCCGCACTTTTTTCTTCCGATTTGACTCGCTTTCTTTAATCAGAATTGTCAGAAGTCGTCAGCAAGTGTGCCGGAAGATGAGGACAGGACCCCAGGCAAAATGGTATCTGACTGCGGCGCAGCAACGCAACCGCCGCTCACCCTCGATCGGCCAATTCTTATCGCGCTTATGAGCGTTATAAGGGTCGGCCGATCTGAATCGGCCGATCCTGCTCTTTGCCCCAACAAACTATGGCGCGCCCTTGATCGGCCGATCCTTATTGCGCTTACAAGCGTTATAAGTATCGGCCAATCCGAATCGGAGTATGAACATGCTAGGCGGTCGCCGACGCCTACGAGTCACGGCAGACGATCAGCAATTATTGCATTAATATGATCAATGATGAGCATAAGTACTGTGATCACGCCACCGCTATGGGCACAATTGTTAGCTTACTTTAAAAAAGAACCATAAAAAAACATCCAGCCAGCTAACGCATCAAAAACGGGAAGCCAAAGAAGCTATGAGAAGTTTAGTATCCCTTTGATAGTTCATTTAAACATGATGTATTCCGCATTTGTTTGTTATAAAAAAGGGTTAACGGCGACCATTAGAAAGAATATAATGAACTGCTTTCCATCGTATTTGTGCTTGTTAACCATTTAAAAAAAAAGAAAAATCTTTGAAAGCTCGCTTATAACACTTCTGAGTAGAGTTTCCCTATTCTTAATTAAAACACATATCAACATTGAAAACAAAAAAAAAA